CGTAAGATCGATCTGCGCGTTTAATGACCGCGTTCAACATTTCTAATCGTCGTGTTCGTCCATCTGGTTTGACAGAAAATCTTGCAAAATTTAGCGATCTTAATTAATCCCGTGGCTAAAATTATCGCTCTCTGATCTCGGTTCTATTCGTGTCGTCGAATCAGTGACGTCACCCAGCTCGGGATACACGTGACGTCGACGAGGGAAGTGCAACGCTACATCGTACGTTCCGGAATCGCTTTAAACCGATCAATCGGTACTATTTAAGCACGTGGTATTTTCATCGAGTCATCGGCCAAACGTCTCAACTCCGCAAAACTGTTATCAATAAAACGCACGTGCTCCATAATTCGATCTGACTAGTTTCGTGTCAAATGCAATAATCGAGCGAAAAATTAGATCGATTCGCTAACATTGTTCGTTAGTTTCAACATCCAGTTTTTCCTTCTCATACTCTTTTTAATCTTTTCAATCCCTACGGAGATATCACGCTTGTTCTTTGATTTAACAATTCTCCTTGATTTTGGAAATTCTTTGGACAGTTTTTATGGATTTACAACGGCGTTTCTTTAAAGTCTCGAGTGTTCTTCGTTAGAAATATATATGAATTGTATATTAGTTTGAGTTTTTTCCTATTCTTTGTTTAACTTTCATTTCTGTATCATAAATGTCATGTACTTTAATCGTGGATCGCATAACGAGACATCGATGAAATGTAATATATCTATATATGTTGTAGTTTATATTTTAGATTATAGTCTACAAAGTTCTAAGCTAATACCACTTGGGTATATCTCTTTAGTTTTCATAACTTCAATCCCAGTTCGAATACAAGTAAGGAATTAATTATTAATTTTACAAGGTTTATCGAACACATCTGTGTTGAAAAAAAAAAAAAATTCAAAAGGAATATACTGTGAAAGAAATGATAGATTTTCATGCCACAAAATATCGCCTAAAAAGGTAAAAAGGCGATACAGACAAGTAAAATTTGAGATGAATAATCAGACTTTACAATGGCGTCTGAAATTATAAAATGATACGTGACCGACAAACCGACTGGGAGTGTGATGTATTCGATTGAATACCGGAAGTCGAGGGTGGCGCCACAATAAATCAATGCTTGAATTTCCCACGATGCGCGAATCAGATTCTTCCGTATCGATTATCTGTTTTCGAGCGAAGTTAAAAAAATATTTCACACTGCCTTGATTCATCCTTGAAATTCATCTGGAATTCTTGAAAGCTGTCAGTCAGTAGAAATTTAATAAATAATCGCTGCTCAACACGAGTGCTGTTTAATACAGAATAATAATGAAAATTAGAAGAATTATTGCTAGATGATAATAATAAAATACAACTCACGTAGGACGAAAGTTCAACCACGATACCTTTTAAAGGTTAATATCGAAAATATAATGTTATTGCTGCAGTAAAATTAAACCTTTTAGAAGATTTCAGGTTCCTGCTATTCCCATTTTCATCGAGAAATACGCACGAATTATTGCAATAACTATCGTCGGGGTAAAGGATAGATTCGCGTGGTAGATTTAGTTTCTGACTCGTGAGCGGCGGAATTTCTCTCCACGTTGGAAAAAATTCCGCCCACGGGACAAGTGCGTCAGAGTTCGTAAGGGATTCTCAATTATTTACAGTTCCAAACAAACTGTTCCAACTTCCCCGCGAAGAATAAATCGAGTTACTTGGTATACATTCACGTAAGAATGAAGAATTTGCCAAAAAAAAGAACGCATTGATTAGCAGTTGACACGTTAAACGTTCGATATATTATCCGCTATATTAACGAAATGGAAAGCAAGTTGGAGTTGATTATGACGTTTTATCGTTATTTTTTATTTTTCAAATATCCTATATCTTTCTATATGGCGCGTAGAATTGTTTTACATTATTGGTAGATGTTGATAGATTGTGCTTTCCCATTTCATAATTCTTTCTCTGTTAGCTTCTCTTTCTTTATTAGAAAATTAACAGTAAAGTTGGTTTATTAAAATATGAAATGAAATGATAATAATTATACTCGTAAATGCACATGTTCATTCATTCTTTATAAAATAGAAACTATTCGTGAGAAAGCGTCTAATACTCAAGAATATACATTTGTAAATTTATAAATATTTCTACGAGAAAACGAAGAACTCGGAGTTCACTTTAATCACTCTGATATCTTTAAAATACAAATTCATTTGTTCGAAACATTCTGTTTCCCGACAATTGAAATATTTGTTACATCTTACAAGTTAACAACTAGCTGTTTAAAAAGTTGTTATACTGCAACAGCAAAATTTCCCCCACGAAATGGAAAAATATTTTTACGATAATTTCTTAAGCAACTGATTGTTAACTTCTAAGGAAGTGCCGTTTAATCGAAACCGGCGGTGACAAGACAAATTGATGTGAAGGCGTGAACGACATCGTGCTGGAACAAAGGGTGCGCCTGGTTGAAATAGATTTTCCAGCGTGAACAAATCATACCGAAAAATCAATACGCAAAAACGTAAACTTAGGTCGGAAATTAGATCGGTTCGTGTAAATCAAGAGGCGCGGCTCGAATCCTCGACTTTCTTAAAATAACGCCTGAACGTTCGAATACCTCGGATGGAGAACGTAAGAAACAAAAAAAAAAAAAAAGAAAGAAAGAAAAAAATGAAGAGAATAAGAAGAAAAAGATTCGCGATTATCGGCCAGGTGGCGCCGATGGTACTTCCAAATCAAAACATTTACTTCCGGTCGTGACGACGATAGCTTTTTTTTTCAATGAAAATAGATTCGACGGGATGGATAAACGCGGGGAAAATTTTTACAATCTCACTGCTGATGATAATGTACTGACTTTTCGTGGCTCCACGTGACTTGTTGAAAGTTACGTAACCTGTTTGTTATAATTGCACGATATTATCACCGTTATTATTGTTACTATTGTGTTAATATAGTTATCTATATATTTGTTAGAAAGAAACAGTTGTTTCTCATTGGCTTTAGAATTATCGAATTCTTTTCTTTTCGGCTAAAGGAACTTCAACATGTCGACCACGTTGATGGGGGTGGGAACAATCCTCGAACTTGAGCATAGAAAGCAATTAAAAGAATAAATTGCTCTCAATGAAAAACTACGACATCGAAGGATCGAAAAGAAAGAGTCATTCGTTCAAAAGGAACTTTCACGCAGAATATATATATAAAAGTATTCAAAGTATAGTATTTCTTAAACAGTGTTTAAACGAATTTTCCATCCAACGTGTAATTTCTTGTCTAATAATATAATTTTCGTGAACATCCGCCGTCTGATTATCTGATCCGCTGAAGCCACGTCTCTCCCTTCAGTTTCCAAATCTCGTGCAATCGCGCCGAAACGAGAAACGATCGTTTCGATGGAGGAACGTTGAAGGGTGACGGCGACACGGTCGCCCATTGGCATTTAATTGGACGAAAACTGTTAGTTTAAATCCGGTAAGAGAATTTGGCAACGGGTCTCGGCTGTCGTACACGCCACGGGATATATAGAATAAACGGCTGTAAACCGGCGTCGTTCTGACGTATCCGTCAAAAAATAACCACTTGCCGGCCGTCGTTCGAACGTCTCGCAAAGTGGCCATCGATAAACACACCGTCGTCGTGATCCGTGGACACACTGACGCAATCGATGACGACATTTATGATCCGTCACGCGACGATCCTTTCTTCCCTCCGCGACGCGTCCTCTCGTTTTGATAATGCAAAGTATCGTCCGATTATCGTGACGCAATCAAGATACACATACAAACGTCACGTCGCAACGTTTCTGATACACCAGCTGTATATTGTACTTTTATTAACACTAGAACTACCGACAGTTGAGACGTAGCTATCTCTACCAAAACC